CTTTCAAACTTCTGGTCCTTGTACCTTTATTTATTTGCCAACGCGTCATTTGTCATTGTCGCTGTCCACGCCAGCCCCTTGTCCCCTGATAAGCCACACTATTTTTATAACTTTTAGCTCTGGACTATCCGTGTGCTGACCCTACATCATGCCGAAAATCTGTTATCCCTTTTTTGTCAAGTCAGTTTTCATTTTAATTTCTTCCTTTCCTACATTATCCACGTGCTTTTCAAAAGATCCCCTGTTATGCTCCATACCTGGAACACCCTTACCGTGACTGTTTTAAAAGAAACTGTTTTCTTAGAACATCAGCTTTAACGAAAGCTCTATTGTATCTTGTCATTTTGGCTATAAAATCAATATTCTCTCGTTTCTCAATGAGTAAAAATCATACTGCCTGAGATCACAAGGCTTCCCATCGACTCCTATGTACCTTTTTTCATAAGCAGTATTTTATTTAGACAGTGAGTTAACTAAGTGTTTTTTTTGTCATAATTTATTGGACGCTCCGAGTTTCCTAGCAGTTTTCGAGCATTTCTGTTAAGTGTTACACGGCATCAGAATCATGTTAAAGTCAGCCAACTATTTCTAATACTAATATGCGAAAACATTCGAGGTCCAGTTATAATATTGCTTTCACCATCCCCAGAAGAGGAAGAGGAAGACGGGGCAATTTCTGAGACCAACTTGTATTTACGCTGACGTTTCGAAAGCACTCTCGCTTCCATCGTCAGAGCGTGGTGACTATTCTCCTGCCGAATGTCGAGTGCCTGTGTCTAACCACTAGCCGTGCCAGATGCCCGCGTGTCGATCGATTTTACCGATCGATGGTTAGCGCTTGTTTGAATTGTTCGCGCCCTCGCGGACGCCTCCATGTGGTGTGTCAAGTCGTTCGTGTGCCTTCTGAGCGTTTCCATCTTCTTCGCTCGCGGTTGTCGGCTGTCGACCCTGCGTATCTTCCTCCGCCCGACTTATTGCTCCGTTCTGAGCAGAGGTTAGCCTTGTGCGGAGCACTTTTTAGGCGCGATGAAGGTCTATGGCTCTGTTAAGCGTGCACACTGAAACGTCAGCGTAAATTAAATTTGGTTTCAGAAATTGCCCCGTCTTCTTCCCCTTCTGGGGATGATAAAAGCAATATTTCTAACACAGTTATAGTAATAGAAACAGTATAAAAACCACCGAGCCCATGTTCTCATCGGCGTCGACCCACCTCATGGAAAAACGAGGACGGGCAGCCTTTTGCAGCATGAGGAAACGGCCTCATGGCCGAAAGCCCAGACTATTTGGTTCACCTACAACCGGTGTGGCAGCGTACAGGTAGACGAGAACGCCAGTACCATTAATTCACTTAATAGTCCGAAAACCGAGGATGATAGCAAAAGTGGATGGATTATAAGACGAAGAGGACTTGACAGGGGAAAAATAGCTGGATATTTTTTTCCTATCGTTAAGTTGTCGTTCGCATTTAGTCTGGCGCAATTGTATGTCATCCGCTCGCATACCATCAACACGCCTAGGAAGAAGTAGACACTCATTTCTGAAGGGGTCATCCTGAAACAGATAAGAAGCTAACGAATCAAAGCGACTTCATGCTAGCTGCCAACGGATGCACTCGTGTCAGAAGCTACAATCGATGCGAATGGCCTTTTATGGCAGGGCATCAGGAAATGTTCGAAACGGACATGAGAGAGAGAGCGCGGGTGCTCTGGAACTAGGTATTTTTCATTAACCAGCCGGAAATATCAGTCAGCCATTTGAAGCATCTTGGTCAACGTGAAGGGAACAGTTACCGTAATGTCTCCTGAAGGCGGAGTCAAGAAACTGGAGGCTAGACCAGGGGCAGTCGTTGACAGAGCTAAAATCAAAACTCCTCTGTGTCTGCCATACACATTCCAGAGGAGACAGTATTTCGTTTAAGTGCGACTGTGCTAAAGGCCGCATTAAGGAGTTATTGCACTCTGAGGGGACCGACATATGCCTTCAGCTGGCAGCGTTCCAAGCCATGGCGGTAGGGATTCCAAGTGGGAACTTCGAAATGTCCTTATGTATTGAAGCCACCTACTTAAATGTTCTAAGTAGGTTGAATTACCCATAATCT